CGCTCTCGCTCGATGACGTATCTGCGCAGTTCGCGATACGTAGAAAGCATGAGCACCGCGTCGCAGGGCAGTATCTAAATCACCAGATATCCCTGCTCACCGTGCAATACAATAATCTGTACTTAATTTATGTAATTGAGCATTAGAACGATAAATACGCCCTTTATTTACAAAACTATCTCTTTATACGCACAAATAAAAAATAATAATTATAAATAGTTAGAACAATTTTTTTATTTCGTTAAGAAATCAAAAAAATACTAATTAATATTACTAATAAATATCACTATAAATGTTTAATACTTACATTAAATCTATGGATATTACCTTCTAACAACAAACAAATATACTACATTTTATAATTCTTCTAATCTATCGATTCTTTGTGTGCTGTTTTTTTCTAGATTCAATCTTCTCTTTAAATCTGAAAAATGAAACTAAAAAGGATAAAGATTTCAGAGGTTTTTATTGATTACTCTTTTTATAAAATTTCTAAATATCTTAATAAAAATAATTCTAATAAATTTGTTATTATATTTTGTAATATACTGAGATTTTGACAGATATTATATTTTTATTACTGAAACATAGCAATTAATTACTATTGAAAGTACGAAACAACAATGCTTTTTAATACTTAAAATAAATAATTAACCTTTCAGTTTTGGCCAGTATTAGATTTATATAAGGATTACCATTAATCATAAAAATTTTCACTTTTTAAGTTTCCGCTTTAAGAAAGAAATATTTTCGCTACCCTACGGGGAAAAAGTAATTGTGGGGTATCCAAAGGGCCCAATTCGCGTACGGTCCTGCCGACAAAAAGAGGGAGGATGCGAGGCCCGATCGCTCTCGAGAGCGCACGCTTCTTTCAAATTTAACTCTTAAGGTGATCGCAACTTTCAAGCGACCAAGACGTCCACTGTATACACATAACGTACAACGCTCGCATGATATATTTGTAGACCTCCGTCGCTCGTGTGTAGTTCGTGCTACGTGCCTGTGTGCACCACCAGCCTTCAACAATACGCTCCGAGAGCGAGTAAGCTAGCCGCAAACAGAAGCTCCATAATCCTCCGGGCGGATTATGTCTGATATTCAGCTACGATATACCGATCGTTATCACGGGTATCCTCTTTGTTTCCGTTCCGAGAAAAGTGTAAAACGATACCCGGAAATTACTGTACAAAATATAAATTCAGTGGGAATACAGATGTCAAAATGATCTGAACTGTTTTTCCTTTTGTTTCATTTTCCTTTTTTTTGAGGGGGGTTTATATGTAATGGCCTCCCTGTACAGCACAGACCTCCAATAGACGTCCTAAAAACGTTACTAGGATATCTCCATGGCCATATTCATAGTCCATTTTTATTTTAAGATAGTCTTAAGTAATGTCTGAAGATATTAATGTGGCACTTTGATTAGTTCATGATATCTTAAGATTGTACTTAAGACAGTCTTAAATACAAAACTGGACTATGAACATCGGCCTATGTCCGCTGAATATTTTGAGAACATTCCTAAGATTTCTCGCGAATAAAGTGTAGAGATCTTTCCATCACAGGGGTCGATCTAGCCAGTATTATGAAAGGTCAAAAACTTTCAAAAAATTTTTTGTTCGCGCTCGGCAACTCTTGACGTATTTAAGGGGATGAATGACCAAATTATCGATATTATAGTCGTATAAAAATCTCTCAATAGAGGATTTTTGATTCCGTTCAGTCAATTAAGAGATTTTTATATGACTGTAGTGTCAATAATTTGGTCACTCCAGTGCATCCCCTGATTTCACTCGTAAGTACGCTGTATCCTTTTATTTCACAATTAGAGTTATATGATATTAAATTATAAGAAAAAAATCAGGGTTGGGTAAGTTAACTTTTTTTTTAACTAAGTTAAGTTAAAGTTAATAGCCTTGAAAATTTAATTAAAATACAAGTTAATCCATAATGAAATTAATTGAATTAAAAGTAAAGTTAATAAAAAAAAGTAATTGAAAAGTTAAAAGTTAAATTTAATCCGAACGAACAACCAAAAAAAAAGAAAAAAACAGTTGAACCATTTTACATAATTTTTTTCGTATTTTTTTTTCGCATCATATTTGTTAAAGAATCTGGTTATTTTTGTTCAAGTAACGATTATACGATATAAAATTATTAAATTATATACTCATTATCCTCTCGCATTGTGTCTGAGGATTGATTTAAAAAAAATCAAATTAAAAGTTAATAGTTACTGATAAAATATAATTAAATTAAGTCAAAAAGTTAAAAGTCTAAAATGTAACTAAGTTAAATTAAAATTAATTAACTTTTTATCTTTTTAACTTAGCATTACCCAATCCTGAAAAAAATACATATAGCCGGTATTCATAGTCGGTTCTTGTTTTAAGACTGTCGTAAGTAATGTCTCAAAGATACTAATACAGCTTTCTAATTGATTCATGACATCTTAAGACTGTACTTAAGACAATCTTAAATATAAGTACCGACTATGAATACCGTTCATACGTATACTTTTCAAGAAAAGATTATGGTCCAGAAAAGCGGAAGGACGGTATAATTTTTTTATGCATTAAATGCAAGTATTTAATAAAATAGAATTTCTAGAACATAATTTTTTCGTTGACAATT